AGCTTGTTCTACAGGAACATTAAGCCACAGATTTACTACCCTGCACAGGTTTAACCTGCCAGTCTGGAACTGAAGCGGGAACTTCAAAATCAACTGGAGAAAGACACAACGACCATGTTTTCCACAACAGAGTAAATTGAACACTTAAATATGATCCATTTACATATTGCTGACATTTAACTAATTTGTTCCCTTTCTTTCTTTCTTTTTATCTTTCTTTCTTAAATAAGGCTGATTCAAAATGTCACTTGCTGATTAATGGCAACATATGGCTGCAGCACCTGCCCTCTAACACTACTATATAAGCTATGAATGGACATGTTCCTGTGATACACTAAAACCTGTGGGTGTGTCCAAGCATGTGTCTGCCACTGGACGTTATCGGTATGTGATCAAAATAGTTTCTGTGTGTATCTTTCCCGTGCATGTGTGAGATACTTTCACAGTATGACATATGCTTGAAAAACACATATGTCAGCAAGTGCTGGCATATGCGAATGACATATGAACACTGTTTTCACTACACGGGCATGCGTGTGTGAATTTATACATTGAGGGTAAGCCTGTGTGTGGTAGTAGTAATCCGCACCAGGCAGCTGCGCTCGTTCGTATTCAGCCCCAAGGCACTTCTAGGCCTACTTGCTGATTAGGGATCAGAGAGCGAGAGAAAGAGGACAGAGTGAAATGGTATAGAGCGGGGATGAGAGACAAAGAGAAAGAAAAAGGTCCTCTCTCATTTAGTAAAGAGTTTGTTAATGTCTATAATCCCATTAAGCAGGGGGAACAGCTTGACCCCTCACATAACATGCATTAATATGTATGGGCGAGTGTGTGGTTGCAGTGTATATTCTTTTTCTCTCATACAAACAACCCCAGACACTTGATACAGCGCATCCAGGAAAAGAAATTGATTGCCCTTATAAACAACTGATAAGGCCCTAATGTAACATTGCAAGCTGTTAAGGAGAATTGGAGCGGCGAGTCATGAAAATGACATGTAAATCAAATGAGCGTTGTATATTTTCAGGCACAATTTGCCAGCAATTATTGTGTTGACCTGGCTCCTCGGTTGACAAAAGAAACCTGTTCCCTCTGAGGAGCAGGAAATCAGCTTTTCAAGTGCTCTTGTGTTTGAAGAGTGGTGAGCAAGGCAAGGCGTGATTGCTGCACTCTGCAGAGAGGATCGCACATGGGGTGATTTCATACAAGGTGAGAGAAAGCAGTGAAGGCCAAAGCTAGTTGTTTTCTTTTCCTTCACAATATACATGCAAGCAGCACTCAACTCAATGTTATCTCAGCTAACTCACACTGAATCGATCCATGCTGAAAAAAATATGATAAAGAAGAAGATTCAGTATTAAAAAAAGAAAAGAAGACCCTCCAGCTTGTGGCCTCCTTCAACCTAAAGCCCCGATGGATGGATGGATGGATGGATGGATGGATGGATGGATGGATGGATGATATGTGCAAAATATAACCTGAATTCCAAAATGTTGGTTTGCTGTGTAAAATCTAAATAAAAAACAACATACAATAATTTGTGAACCTCAAATGTTATTCACAACAGAATCGTATCACAATAGAAAAAGTATTAAATTTCTAAGCTGAGAAAATGTACCATTCTAAGAAAGACATGAACTCATTTTGAATTTGGTAGTAACATGTCTCAAAAAAGTTGGGGCAAGGCTATGTTTACTACTGTGTAGCTGTGGTAAACATGCGCTTCTGTTAACAGCAGACTGTAAACATCTGGGAACTAAAAGGAGAGGAATGTTGTCCCATTCTGGTCTCATATAGGACTAGTAGTCATGAGTCTTCTTCATCATATTTTTATTTTATTCATACTATCATGATGCACTAAATGTTTTTAATCGATGAAAAGTCTGAACTGTCTGCAGGCCAATTCAGGACCTGGATTCCAGAATTGAGGGTGGGGGTGGGGGGCTTTTTAAGTGAGCACTAATAAAAAGCCAGATGGTTCCTTTCCTCTTTAGTCTGGAGGATGTGTCCATGTTTTCCAAAAAATAATTTAAATTTTGATTTGTCTGACCACAGAACACTTTTCCATTGTGCCTCAGTACATTTGAATGTCACTTGATCTGGAGAAAATGCCAGGATTGCAGGATCATGGTCACCCATGGCTTCTTCTTTGCTTGATAGATGGCAAGATGAACTGCATTCAATGACCTTGATTGGAGGAAGTGTTACTGAGCCCCATGCTGTGATTTCCATGCTTGTTCTTAATGCACTGATGCCTGACTGCCTGAAGAACATGAACATCTAATATTGATTTTTAGTCTTGTCCCTTTTATATTGAGGGACATTATTCAGAAATTCTCTAAAAATCTATACACTCAGTTTTTTGCAGACTTGTTATCCTCTGACCATCTTGACTTCTTAGAAATTCTGCCTCTTTGTGATGCTCGTTTTTGAGATGTCCAATTTTAAAAAACAGATATTACTGGTATTACTTGTGATTGCTTACATGTGTTCCCACTTAACGTAAATAGTTGCAAAATGTTTCTTCAGTTTCTCCACTTAGTTTTCCAGCATTTTTTTCCTGCCACCTCCTGCCACCATCCCAACTTTTTTGAGATTCGTTGCTTCCATCTAATTCAAAACATGCCAATGTTTTCCATGAAATCAAAAAAGTATATCAGTTTAAACATTTGGTGCGGTTTATGTGTTCTATTGTGAATAAAATGTGGAGTTATGAGATTTGAAAATCACTTAATTTTGTTTTTATTTACATTTTACATGTCATTCGAGGCTTTTTTGGAATTGGGTTTGTATTTACATATAAGCAGCAGGATAGCTAACATCTTATGCACTGTATAATGCACTGTATATTAGATGTGATATAACACAAGATTTGCCAATAAGGCTGCAAATCCAAACTGAGTGTTTATGTTTTCATTTGAAAATGAATGTTAAATTCACCTCCACATTAAATACGAACAAATTACTTTAATTGCAGGTCATCATAAAAGCACCACTGCCTCAACAATACCTTCTGAGTGCAACTCAGCAATTTATTTAAATTAATAAGACCCTCCACAGCCAACATGCCCGTTTGGGCTCATAGAGCTGGGCCCAATGGGCTGAGGCTCGTCAACAAGCACGCCCTAAAACACATCCAGCCATCACAGGCACGGTAAACTAGTCGCTTGAATCACTGGGCGTGATAATGGATGGAATTTTGTTTCAACAAATAAAGTTCAACTTATTATTTAATTAGGCTGAAAGTTAATCTTCACTCTTTATTATCTCTAATGCATATAGACCTGTATTATAGCATATTAATATATATTAACAACTCTCACTCTATCATGCTATCATGTAGTTACCTGTGGTCTTACATTTATTTTAGTTGAAGAGAAGCTTCATATGTGAATATAGTTATTTACACAGCATGTAAATAAAGTTGGAGCAACATCTACAAACTGACAGTCATTTGTTTATGACTGATTCATTTAAAAATATTTTATAGATGAATTATAAGTAATTACTCTGTGTTAGTCCTGCCACACACTGTCCAGGGTGTACACTGTAAGACAGCAGGATTAGGCTCCAGCCCCATTCTGCAACCCTGAATTGGATACGCAGAATAACATGGGTGGATTTAATTTAGTAGTAACAGCTTTTTGGTTGCCATATTGTTGAAATTCCTTCTCTGTCATGACACTTTGCTCACTGTTTGTTATTGGGAAATAAACTTAACTTACTTAAGAAAAAAATATATTATAATGTCTATGATTATATCTAGCTTATTAAAATTAATAACCATGGCTTGATGAATTGATTGCCTTTAATGTTTTCAGAACATTAGGTCTAGAAGCTGAAGCAGTCGCTGCTGACCGACATCGATGGAGATCACTAGCTGCCCGATGCGCCGCCCGGCGTAGGAGGAACTAAGTGCTAAGTAAGTAAGGTCTAGAGGTAACTGATGTTTGATGATGGAAATTTCTTACTAATATTTACTTAATGGCTTGGAGGAATCGTCAGTCTGAAGATTGATGATCATTTTTTACATGGAAGATAATTTGAAGATAGTTTTTACGACTTAGCAACCCAAAAAGTTGTTGTGATATTAATTTGGAGTGGATTTAAAAAACGTTCACTATGTGATCCATAGCAGAGTGGGTAACAAATGACTGAATTTACTACTTAGAATGTAAATTTCCATTGTCTATGTAACCATTTTGCCTCACACATTAGAGTTTCGGTTATAAAAGACAACCTTCAGTCCATTTCTTCCTAGATTTCCTCAAGGTGCAATTAACAATGTCTCACTTGGCCACAATATTAAAGCCACATGTCTAATGCCATGAAGATGTCCTGTATGTTGACAAAAGAGTTTGGATCAGTTGGGGTATGGACACCAGATCCCATGGTTGTTCTGTTTGGCAACTGGATATTTAGATCCTTTACTTCTTGTTCATTGCGAGGAGAAGCCTCCATAGACTTGCAATCTTGGTAGTTTGTATGCAGGTCAGAACCTAGTGCTTTTTGCAGGGTCCTGCTAGGGGTAGGCACAGCCTTTGGGGAGTGCCATGTGTTGCTTGACCTGTGGCTGTGATTAGGTAATTGGTAACACTGATACTTTCCATAGCTCAGTCCCATGAATATTGTAGCTAAAGGAGTAATTCTCTTTACTCCATTTGTCCTTGGCTTTAATATTGTGGGGGTGATCAGTACTAAGTGTTACAGGGCAATGGAACTGGCAACAACTAAATGGGGTGTTGCACCGTTTTTATCAATTACTTCCGAACTGTGCTATTTATGGCACGCAGGCACCTCTCTTCTGAAAACAGCATATGATCTGAGGAGAAATTATAAATCTCATAATCTCACCAAAGGCAAATAAAAGCTGGATTTTCACAGTTTATGTTTTTAGAGAAACAAATTGACTGGTACATTAGCTGACCAATCGTATCTCAGCTTCGAATCAGTTTTTATCCAATCACAGAAGAGAGCGATAGTCTTGCCCCTCCCAAAAACTGGATGCTGAAAAAGAACGTCATCTACCTTTTTACGTTTAGCTTTAGCAAAAATTAGCTAGGTGTTCAATCATAGATAAATCCTGCCGAACCAAGCGTATTTTCTTTTGAACCGACAGCCTAAGTAAGAGCGATATATTTGGCGCTCCCTGGTATTACAGTGCCAAACATGTATGTAAAAGCCTTACGTCGATGCAGAGACATGTTGAAAGGAGAACTGGTCGTGTGAAACGCTGACTAGCTTACTCAAAGCTAACTGACGAACAGGGGCCGAGAAGCGAAAGTGGCTAATATTAAGGACTGCTAAGCCTATCACAACAACGCTGGGTGTCTTAGCATTTCTACCGTGATCACGAGAAGAGGGGCTGATAGAGGGAGACTGAGAGTGAGAGATTCCTTTCATACGCAGTAAGTAACACTTGGTACTCGGAATGAGCAACGAATCTACACTGGCTAGCGACCCGCTAACGTGTAACGTTAGGCAAACAGTTTGACAACTGTGAACTTCGCTAGCTGGTTAGCTAGTGAAGTTAGCTAACCAGAGTGGCCTCTGTTTTAGGTAACGAGAATCGAGAATTGGCTTGATTTTACTTCAGGATCTCAAAGTACCGTTATTTATATGTCTTTATTTGGACAGGGAGTACGATATTGTCGTTGACGCCGGTGTAGCCACACTTACTAACACGCCCGAGCTCCATTCAGGTGATTTTCACATTAATTGGAGCGTTTCACGCACTTGTCAATATTCAAATGGGTTATCAGCATCGCTCTGCTGGCGGATTAATGATTATCATTCCAACGTTTGGGTCTATCCATGTGATCCGAGAAGGTTTGGTTTGTCTTTATTTGCTTGTGGCATGTGTCGACAGTTTTTCTCCACTAAAATTATTTTTAATCTGATTCATGAATATTTGCAACAGGTGCGACTTACGTGGAACTAGTTTTAATGTGTGTTATTCTGGTTACTGCTTAGCATAAAGCTAGCTTTTGTTTCAAACGTCAACATATTGTTTACTAACAATGTACGTAGTAGAGTCTAGGTTTATGCTTCTATTCCTATTTGCTCCCATGAAGCTCCAGTACAGGGATTAACTTGTTTTATTGCCTTGTTGTGGGTACTTTTATTGGGTTGTTGGTGTGTGTGGCAGTGTGTTTGTGTGACGGTGTATTCCAGAAATGGCAGCAGCATCAGTGGCATGTTTGTGTTGGCACCTTGATGTGAAATCCTGCAATAGCCATGCTCTTTTAGCCTATGACTGCACTGGGTGCATGGGCTTGTCCAAAGGCCTTTATCTATACCCATGTGGTTACGTTAGTGTGAACTGAAAGGGTTCACACGCAGATGCATGCTCAGATGTAGTGGCAAGCCTTGAATAACTGAGAGATTAATTTGTGTTTCTGCTTATGTCTCAGAACAGGGTGATAGTATTGGTTAAGATTCTTGAATCAGCTTGTGGGGTTATGTAAATGCTGTGCACGTGTTTTTATAATGTATCCCAAAGGAACTGAAAGTGGTTTTAGTGCATGCTTAAGTACTCCTATGTTTAAAGTCCCTCATCATTTTGCCACTTCTGAGAGTTGAGAAATGATGAGAAAACAGAGGTACATGTATACAGTGCAATGCAAAAGTATTTGCTCCCTGTCTGATTTCTTAATTTTTTTTAACCCATTTTTCACATTTACAGGTTTCAGATCATGAGACAAATTTTAATATTAGACAAAGCTAACCTGAGGAAATATATAATGTTGAATCAAGAAACCACTTAAATAGAACCTGTCTGACAAAGTGAAGTAGGCTAAAAGAGCTCAAAAGGCAACACATCATGGTACGATCTAAAGAAACTCAAGAACAGCAGAAAAACAAAGTCACTGGCATCTGTCAGTCTGGAAAGTGCTTCGAAGCCCTTTCTAAAACTTTGGGAACCTAGCAGACCACGGTGAGAGCCATTATCCACAAATGGAGAAAACTTTAAACAGTGGTGAAGATTCTCAGGGGCTTTCGACCAAAATTACTCCAAGTGCACATCAGTTACTCATCAAGGAGGTCACAAAATAACCCAGAACAGAATTGCAGCACACTCTGTAAAGTCAGAGATCATGATTCAACAATAAGCAAGCGACTTCTCTGGTGGTTTGTTGCTTCAGGATTTGGACAATGATCCAAAACACACCAGCAAGTCCACCTCTGAACGTCTCAAAAAAACCAAAGAGAAAATATAGGTTTTGATGTCGCCTAGCCAAAGCCCAGACTTGAATCCCTCTGGTGTCGCTGAATTAAAACAATTCTGCAAAGAAGAGTGGGACAAAATTCCTCCACAGAAAAAGCCTGATTGCCAGTTATTGCTGCCAATGCTGGCACAACCAGCTAATAGGTTTAGGGGGCAATTACTTTCACACATAGGGTCAGGTAGGTCTCAGTATTTTTTTTTCCTTAATAAATTGAATCATCATTGTATTTAACCAGGTTATCTTTGTCTAATATTATAAGTTTGATGATCTGAAACGTGTTACAAAAATGGAAGAAAAAAAAAATCAGGAAAGGGGGGGGGGCACTTTTTCACAGCACAGTATATTGCAGAGAAAGCACCTGCAGTCCAGTATGACATGACACGTGTACTTTCAATCGCTTTGGTCTGGACAGACATCACCATCATCTGTTCAAAGGACACTTGTTCCAGGAAATTGACAGCTTCAAAGATGAGTCAGCAAAGAGAGGGGGGATCTGTTTGTTTCACTTGTCAAATTTGTTTAAAAAAAAAAAAAAAATCAGAAACTTTTTTTGAGGTAAAGTTGTTTTAATCTTTTTAATCATAACTGAGAACAGTGTGTTATACCAGCTGTTCACTGCCTTCTTTATAAAATCATCAAATGTGGATGTGGCTAATGGGTACTAGCAAAAAGATGATTCATGGCTAAAAGTCAATATAAGCACATTAGTAGAAACTGTATGTTGTGGATTTTCTCTTCAGAGATGGACTCAATTGTAGAGTTAAGCTATAACAGTCACAGCTCAGTTTGTTTTGGGTTTTGTTTTTTGTTTTTTATAAATATTGACTAGCTGCATGTGTGTTTTTATTTTATTTTATATAATTTGTTTTTGGTATTGTGATCTAAGGTGGTCATAGCTTTCTTAGTTAAACTATGATGCCTTAAGCTTCAACTATTTGCCATTGCCATCTTGATATTTTGGTAAATCTGACAGTGACAGACATTTAACAACTTATCAGTCACAAGTTGTTGGCATATGCCGAATAATCGTCCTTTCCAAACATGAGCATAATTTGCAAAAGTTCAATTCATGATGCCCTGGAACTACTGTCAGTCTTCAGAATGGATTTTACTTAGTTCATACAACAGCAGAGCTGTTGGGCTCTGCTATGGGGTTATAGCAAATTTCTCCAGGTAGAGGATAGGAATATAAATCTGAACACAAATAAGATTTAAAAAGAAAAGTGAATACTTTGGGAAAGAAATATGACCAATGGTTACTTTTGAGGTGGTAATGCAGCCATGTCAGTTCATAAGAATAAATCAACAGCACTAAGGTGTTTCCTTTATTGAGTTAGCTTTGAAGTTGATGACTTCCATGCTTCCTTTAAATATGTTGCATTACAGTATAGTTGTTGGGTTAACTTTTTGTTTCCTAACTCCACTACTTTAGTTGTGTCCAACTAAAGAAAGGGTGCAGCAGTGGTATATTGTCATGGGCTAATATCCCATTCAGGCTTTTACTTTTTACCTTAATTTCCCCTTAATCAGCTCCTCAGCATGGTACAGCACCTCTACAGCAAGCTACACTGCTACCATGCTGCATTTCCTATCAGTCTAATATTATCATCATGTCTTTTTCCCCACACAAAACAACAGTACAGTAGTTTAGTAAGGTGATGCTGACTTCTAAGGGTAGATTGGCCATTATATCACACACTGTACCTTTCATGTCATCGAGTCAGGAGAGAGAGCTGTAAGACATTAGTAATAGTTCACTGTGTTAAGCCTGTGGTCTGCATTTGACGAGCTAATCTCACCCTGCGTGGATCCTATCAGCAGCTGACTGTTAAATTGAGTTAACTTGTTAAAGCTATCCTGAAGCTGAGAGTGGTGGTTTTTCTGGGGCGCCTCAAACAGAAACCAGTGGGGAAAAACATTTTGGCCTAGTAAATCATAGCAAATCCCGCCTCTGCTTTTTTGTCACCTTCATAGACTACATGAATGTTCAGACATACATACATGTGGTAGTTCATGTGCAGTCACGTCTGGCCACTACCACTGTTGCTATGACAACCACTCAGCTGCCACTCCAAGCTGGGTAGCCATGGAGACATCAGACTTTGGGTGACATCAGTCTGTGGTGTACAAATTACCTATGCTGGTATTTATTTTTAATGAACACCAGTGGCCTGGGGAATTGGCAACTGCCAAAGATTTAGGCTTTTAACCAAACGGCAATTATCAGGACTGTAATAAAATATTTTTAATGAATTAAAAAAAATTGTTTTAAGTGGTTCAAACTTGAATGTGTATCATATGCCAAAAAAGTCTATTTTTTGGCATATGATACACATTCAAGTTTGAATACAGACTCTGCTTTACCTGTGTAAGCAGTCAAATGTTAAAGGCCCACTTTGAGCCAGGTATGGTACACGTGATGTGTATGTAGTTGCAGCATAGGTGAGAGCAAATAATGTTATTTGGTGATTGTGGAAATTGCTTTGATATCTGCTCAGTGTTGTGTGTGACCGCATTTGTCGTCAAGGTAATAATTCAAGTGTTCTGGACTACTGATGCTTTTCCTCCCTTTGATATGTGATCAGTGACCAAGTGTGTTTGTCTGTCATGCACCTGTTGAATATCATCTAAATTTTGGAAGTCACATCAAACGCTTTGATAACAAACCATTGGCAAGGTAAAGAGGGAGAAACTTGGATAAGCATTATTTATTTCTTAAAGATCAGAAGATTAAAAAAAAGAATTCTTTTAAAGAAGGATTCTTTATAAAAATTAAAAACAGATTAGACTCCTTTCAATCATTATAGAAAGCAGAAGTTTGAAGGAAAAGTATTTTCTTAATTTCAAAAGCTTATCCACTGGTTACATCATACATAATTTAAAAAACCCAAACCCTTGATCATTACAAAGAAGGGATCTTGTGGTTGTTTTACTCTGGGGTGTACTTTGCTGGCTTCTTATGGGTATGCTTTAGGGTTGGGCGACTGGACGAATATATCGACTATTGACAACAGGCTGAGCCTATCATTGATAGTTTTTACAAGGGCCATTTATTTATTTACCCATGAGTAAGTTTGCTAATAATGGTGGAGCCTAATAGAAGCAGTCAACAAAAAAAAAAAAAAAAAATGATAGCGCTGTTTTAACAGCACCCTCTTTCATCTGCGAGCAAATGCACCCTCTTCAGAGTGTGCCCAAATGCTTGTTGATAAAGCTACAGAAGCTGGTGATAGCCTAGCATACTTAGCTGGATGGTGGACACGTACATGCTCATGCAAGTTAGTCGTGTTTGAGTACTTTGCTCACACTATATGTCTGCACAAGTGGTACACCGCTTTGATTACATCCTTATGTTTACCTCTTTCATCTGGTTTAAAGAAAGCCAAAGAAATCCCAAATTGGTGGCTTTATTTTATTTTATTTTTTTAGTGCTGTCAGCATTAACACGCTGTCATCACGACTAACGCGATTAACAATGAACCCATCTGGAGCGTAAACGGAGTCAAAATCCCTGAAATGTCTCTGTCAACACATTTCGGCAGTTTGTCCAAATTTTGTTCATTCTGCGCTCCAGATGGGTTGAGAGCGTTAAAATCGTGATGACCGTGTTTAACCCGCGTTAATGCTAACAGTATATATATATATATTTTTAGTTAGTTCGTCTATGTTTGGACTTCTTCTGTATTGTAAACTCGCAAATCAGTCCGTGCATGATTACATTGCCCCACCCATGCGCGAATACATCACCCATCGGTGGAAATTTTGCAAACACTGCCATATATATCTTGCCAACTAATTTCACCTTGTATCAGCCAGCAGCCACTTGCAGTTGGTTGGGGAATATGTGTTTTTGAGATGTTACAGGCAAATTTCTAGGACAGTAGGACTGGAGCTTTTAGCTATAAAAATTAAATGAGATGCACCTGCCAGTGCACAGCTCAAACTGTTACTTGATTGTAGTGCTGTCACAATTGCTCAAAAATCACATTTGCTTATTATTCATTCATTAATTCCAAAACAATTCCCAAAGAACCAAACTATTTGACTGTGCGCTACTTTGACACACAGTAGGGCTGTTCAATTAATCAAATGTTAATTTCAAGTACAGTTTTGGCTTCCAGCAGTTAAACAGCATAATATAGATAAAGTGTGATGTGTGAGTGAGGTGCATGCTGTCAGCCTGGCAGTGTAGCGTGATATTAGTTGTCTTTGAAGCCTTTCTGTTCTTTTAGTTAGGTGGGGGAAAGATGAGTATACAAGGCGGTCTAAATGCTTCATATGTAGATGAGGGTGACTCACTCACTGAGTCCCCTTCATCTATGTCTAGTTAGCATTCATACGTGTCATTTTGTTGATGAAATCTGTGTTTTTTTTAGATTTGACTTTAAATCATAAGTTAATAGCAAATAGCGGGCACTTATCTATTTTTATTTTTTGAGAGGAACCTTTTAGCTCTGTCCACATGTACATTAACAGACACCATCCTTTGAGTATGCCTGCAACTTACTTGTAAGTAGCACTTATTGATATTTTCAGATATAAGGTATGGGTTATTGTGCAATTTCCGTGGCTAAGATTCCATTAAGCAGTGTGACAATCAATAAGACTGTAAAAGTTAATGTTCTCTCATTGCATAACCAATAAACAGACTGGATAGAGAATTTCTCTCTGCTATCCAGCAGCGTAATGCTGCTGTGCATTTAGCTAATGCAGGTGCAGTTATTGATAGATAACGCATCCTCTTGAACACTCTGTGAAGTTTGTTAATGCTTTTTGAAGGCAGTTCTGGCTACCCAGAGAAGCTTTTAAACTTTCTTCTGTCTCTTTAAGGATAAATCTAAGTAGCTGCTATTTGTGGATGTGGTGTGCAGTGATCACCAATAAGAAATAAGAAACAGTTGATATGTTCCTTAAGCCTTACATAGAAAGTATAAGAAACACAGGAAGAAAATTTCCAGCAACTCAAAAGTTAAATATTCTCCTTAAATATCTGTGGGGATATTTGTAGTCTTTGTGTTTTCAGAATATGCCAAAGCCATGTGAGATTTGTAAGCTGTTTATTTTGGCTAAAGAACTTTTTTTCATATCACCCAGCACTAGTTAGAAGAGGAGATGATGGCTGTAAAGCAGTCAAAGATGGGTAGATACCAAAGAAATGGTAACATTTCAAAATCATGAATATATTGCAAGAGAACACTATTTGTCCTCTCCTAGTTATATTATGCAAATCTTTATATATTCCTTCACGATTTCTACAACCTTTCCTAATATCATTAGTAATCATGAAGATTGAAACTTTAATATTGTCCAGTTAGTTTTTCTCAAAAATTAATGGTTGGTATGACTGGCAGTTATCCGTTAAGGTCTTTCTAATACAAATCTCTCATGGATGGTTTGGAATGAGTCCGTCTGTATTTATCATGTATTGATTAGAGCAGGGCTATATGACCAAAAATAATTATCACGATATACATTTGAAAATTTGCGATAACGATATAACTGACGATATAATTGACACTAGACAAAATACTTTACAACTCCACAACTTTATTAGTGCAAAAAAACCCAACAATGTATTTTCACTTAAACAAGCAGCTGTTTTTTATGTGCATTAAAGTTATATAAAAAATTAACAGTGCAAATGCAAATTCCTTGCTGACAGTTTAACCAAAAGGCATTTCCAGTGGAAATTGGCCGACATATCCTCAGCATAACCATGTATAATATCCACAAAACTTAAAAAGAGGTTATACACACACAATACGGTAATATTATGTTGAAGCACATTACGTATCACTCCGCGAGGCTCCTGCCTACGATAGCCATAATGCTCCGACAATCCATCAAGCGGTGCGGGTCCGTAGCTTAGCAAAGTCGTACTAAAACATTTGACAGATTTTCGAGCGCCATGTACCACATAAAATCATTTTGAAGTCAGTAAACAAAACCAGAATTCATACATAAGACACACGGGATTATAAGGGGCACTGTCGATTTTCAGAAAAATCAAAGGATTGATTTTAAGTGTGCCGTATTTTCCAAACAACACTGTAATAATGACAATCCACTAGCATGCTCTACCAAAAATAGTGCTTTGTTGTGTATCTGACGGACAAAAGCTAAACCAGTGCCACACCACTGAAGTTGCAGCATTTTTACAAACCAATTCTGGTTCATCCGTTTCATTCAACGAACTGCTTTCGCCCTTCTCATTCTCCTTCGCCGCCATGCTTTTTCCGCCATGTGCGTATGAAAACACAGGCACTGCGCATGCGTGTTTTACCCATATTCTATCGCGATATTTCATTTTCTTATCGTTGCCCAACATTATACCGGTATTACCGTGAACGGTATGATATGGCCCAGCCCTAGTATTGATGCTGATAAAGGTTGTGACCATACTGGAATATCAAAACGTGATACTGATACTCCGTACTGTTTTTGATACTCAAGGGAAAATGTAATTTCATTTGAGATGGTGATGGTAAAATGCAGGTAATATAACCAGGTACAACACAATAGCTCACACATCTAAATAATTTAGTTCTTGTAGAAGGAAAAACAGTATGCTAAAGCTAAAACATGGTATGATTTATGATCAAAAAAGTTGATTGCTGTAAAAGATATAACCACTCACTACCTGCATTTTAAAACTGACCACACAGCTGGCTAAAACAAAAAGGAAATGAACACATTTTAATAAATTGTTGTAAAAGTAGAAAAGTTACTTTATTAATGATAACAGGGGGCTAATGTGGCTGTTGGGTAATTGCTAATGGTTAAACAAACGGCTAATGTTAAAATCTGTGCCAGTCAGGTTAACGTTTTTAACTCTTTAATACTGTATTGGAACTTTACTGACCCCTTTAGATTCCTTCTAAAGTGTTGCTCAGTGTTATGAATATTATGTTAATGAGGTGAGGAGGTCAGAATCAGAATACTTTATTGATCCCTGGGGGAAATTATTTTATAGGTGCGTGTATGTCTGCGTGCAGCAGTGCTGTGTGAAGGTATGCATCTGCTGGACGAGGCAACAAAGTCACTGTTTGTATCAGTGTTATTCCAAATGAGTATCTAATTCAATATTAATTTTAGTGTTAAATAATATCTGAGTATCAAGTTTTTTTTTGTTTTTTTTGTGTTTTTTGACCACCCAAATGCTGTTGTATATAAACTGAATGCAGTGTCAGCAAGCAACTTTCACACAATGCTACTGTAAATCTAGTAGAGATTGAGAACACATTATGAATAGTGATAAGTTATGTGCTTTACTTGAAACAGCATTTTCTGCACTTTTCCTGAAATCTACCAAACACAGTCTTGGCAGTGAATAATTAAGACTCTGTATTGTAATCTACCAGCATAGTAGAAACATAATTAACTGTTCAGTACTGATTCATTGTCTGATTTTCTTTCTCTGTCCCTTGTTTCTTTTTGTTTTTCCTCTCCAACAGCTAGCAGTGGGTCTCTCAGGGCAGAGCCATGGGTGCGTTCCTGGACAAGCCCAAAACAGAGAAGTACAACTCACATGGCGAGGGCAATGGCCTGCGCTATGGGCTAAGCTCCATGCAGGGCTGGCGGGTGGAGATGGAGGATGCTCATACAGCTGTGTTGGGCCTTCCAGCCCTTGGTATGACTGACTGGTCCTTTTTTGCTGTGTACGATGGCCACGCAGGCTCTAAAGTTGCCAATTACTGCTCCAAGCATCTTCTTGAGCACATAATCACCGCTAGCTTAGGGGCTGGAAACACACAAGGCTCTCAGTCTGGATCAGACGGCTCCAACGCTTCAGTACCAGTTCCGCCTGCAGTGGAGGCTGTGAAAGCCGGCATCCGGACAGGCTTCCTGAAAATAGATGAGCACATGCGCAGCTTCTCCGACCTTCGAAATGGCATGGACCGCAGTGGCTCTACGGCAGTGGGAATTCTTCTGTCACCTGATCATTTCTTCTTCATTAACTGTGGGGATTCTCGAGCAGTTCTCTACCGCAATTCACAGGTGTGCTTCTCCACACTTGACCACAAGCCTTGCAACCCACGTGAGAGAGAGCGCATCCAGAATGCTGGCGGTTCAGTGATGATTCAAAGGGTTAATGGGTCACTGGCTGTATCAAGGGCCTTGGGGGACTATGATTACAAGTGTGTGGATGGTAAGGGTCCCACAGAGCAGCTGGTTAGTCCTGAACCAGAGGTGTTTGTGATGGTTCGGGCACCAGAACAGGATCAGTTTGTGATTTTAGCGTGTGATGGAATCTGGGACGTTATGTCCAATGAGGAGTTGTGCGAGTTTGTGAAATCGAGGCTTGAGATCTGTGATGATCTGGAGAAAGTCTGCAATGAAGTGGTGGATACCTGTCTGCACAAGGTATGTACTTATTTGTTTTGGAGTTTATCATTTGTATATTTTGCTGTGACATCCTCTGCTTTCTTTTGACCTATGGAAATGTACATGTGTAGAAAATTTTGTCAGCAAGATGTCCATTTGAATTTCCTGCCAGAGAAGAACACTATATGATGAAGAAAGTTTTAGAGAATGTGTTTTTTTTTTTGTTGAAAAAGAGCTATTTGTAACTGCTTTAATGGCTCAGTAAACTTTCCCTTACTAAAAAAAAGGAGACAGAGAAATTGTTTTGGCAGTCTTGAAAACAGGACAAAGTAAAAATGAAAAGAATGAAGTACAGAGCTTTGAAGTACAAAATGCTTGAAAGATGGCTTCAAGTCTTGCAGGTTACTCCTTAATCCTGACCAGCAGCTGTTATCTGCTTGAATTCAATAGATAATAGAGGGGGAAAATGCATTTTATTGCTTATTTACTATATGTTTTTGATACCGTCATGTTCTACTTGGCCCTGAGTTACAGTGCAGGTTATTCAGTCACTTATTCCCTATGAAAAATGCAAGCTATACAACATCTTCTCTTAACCTGCTCTTTCTTCTCTTTCTTTATTCGTCTGTCCTTTGGCCTGTTTTAGGGGAGTCGGGATAACATGAGTGTTGTGATAGTGTGTTTGCCCAATGCTCCCAAAGTATCGGAGGAAGCTGTGAGGAAAGACACTGAGCTCAACAGTTACCTGGAGTCTCGAGTTGAAGGTGAGAGTGGCTGAATGGAGAAAAATAATGTTTTATTCAATGTATTTATTCAATGTATTAATTGTCTTTGTGTGAATGAATTCTACACATAAAATAGGGTATTGAGGGGAAGAAAATGGGCAGCTGGGGATTTATTGATAACCTTCCTTTATACGTTTTTCCCCCCCCCATATTTACACATCTTATTTCTACTGAAAATGTGCATCATATCTGTATATTCCCTCGATTGACCTTGCTACTTGCTATTGTCTAACCTCCAGCCAAATTTGCTCAGGCTCACAGCAGAAGAATGACACCATCATGACCTCCTTTTCCACTTCAGCGAGCATCTCCCCTCTTTATTCTCTCTCCGTTCCTCTCCTCCCTTGCTTCACTCAAACATTTACTGTCTTGTTGGAATGAATTTCCTTCTCCTTTCCTGTACTCTTTGCCCATTTCTTCTTTCTAATTGCAACCCATATTTTTTTTTATGTCTCTGGGAGCACAAGACCCTTTGAATACAGAGCAGCCTTTCTGGTCAGCTCTCTTCGTTCGCTATGTGCTGTTTGAGATGCCGGTCACTTAAGAAATACATTTATTTATTTATTTTAGCTCTGAGGAATAACTTAAAATGAATCCTTAAAGTTTTTGTTTTTACCTGTCTGATACCAGTGTCATCTTGAAATAAAAAAAGAAAAGAAAACTAAGGCCTTAAAATCGAACCGTAAGACTCTGAAATTGAGATTAAAAGACAGGTAATTATTTTATGTGTTAAAGTAAGTTCATGTTGGCTGAAAAGCACTCTAAAATGGGTCAAAATCATTCCACTTTTGAAGGTACAGTTCAGAAGTTCAAACAGTGTTTGTGTAAAGCAGGCTAGATGCTTGGCTTAGGGTACTGTCTAATACTGGAAGACAGAGGAGAGAGGGAATAGAACAAAACAGAGAGGGAGGAATTCTCTGGCGGAACATTATCTTGGCCTTATGCCACTCCCAACTCAGTTGCAGGCCTCTTTCTGTCACCATCTTTCTCCCTCTCTTCGTCTCAGAAATACACTGGCTTCCACAAATTGACTTGTATGTTTTCCATCTTCACTTCCTTTCTCCTCATTTGTCAAATTTTGGTCTCTGTCCTTCTGCTGCTCTGCTCTCCCTCCTCTGTCTTTGCACAGATGTTCATGGCTATCATCAGCTCTTTTAATACCGATTTGTGTAACAACATGTCTGCTGCTGTTTTAGAGATGCTGTCTCGGCCAGGGGAGGAGGGGTTTCCGGATCTGGTAACAGTGATGAGAAACCTGTCCACTGACAGCGGCATGCCCCCTCTGCCACCAGGGGGTGGTCTTGCCAGCAAGTAAGCACCATTTGACATTTATTAAAATGTATGATTAAAATATGAAAGTGTTAAACATCTGTAATACTTCATTATGTGCTCAGACAGTGATAATTACAGAAATGTTACAATTTGATTTATTTTTAACAGCTACACCTTTACTCCACTTAGTCTTCCACTGTCTTGTAGCTTTGATTGATGGCTCCAACCAATACCTTATGAAATTTTTGGTTTCTGTGTTCCACTTGCAGACGCAGTGTTATTGAAGCAGTATACAACCGTCTGAACCCATACAGGGAGGAGGATGGAGTAAGTATCAGTATATAGAAACGTAGGTGCTTTGTCTTTGACCATTTAGACATAAAATACTAAAAATGTTGAGGGCACATGGCAAATTTGAGATTTCAACTGTCTTATGTCTCAAGTTTCTTTAACGTATGACTTTAAGTGCACTTAGTTGGCTGTAGTTGTACATTTAAATTAACAGTTGATCAGCTAATTATGTAGTCACAGAGTATGTGTGTACGCTCTGTGTAGCATATTCCCATGAAATACCAGTGGGAGATCTTCTTTTGTTAATCTTATGTTGATTCATCTCATGTGGTGGCCTAAGCTGGTGATTTATAAACAAAGTATAAAATTACTGACTTAAGATGTGGCTTTGAGCCCATCCCCTTTCAGTTATGTTAAATGCTGTTTTTCTCTACGCATGGTGCAAGATGATACAGCTTTGTCAGGAAATGTTTGAGTGGAACTATGAAGTTGCAAGTGAAGACATTCATTTTCAGGTTATCTGCTTCAAATAGGCTCTTTTTAATGGTTTATTTTATTTGCCTCCTCTGCTTGGAGCTTTCTTTATCCTAACACTAAAGTGTATGAAGACACTTTAGTTAGGCTTTTAAGTGGAGTTATCTGACACTGGTATGAGAAGTTTTCCCATGTTTGAGCATGAGAATGTGATATGTACGCTTCTAAATTTACTTTGCTGCTGAATGGTAGATGTTGCAAATTTTTTAAATTTGCCAATAAGAACACAGGCATTCACGCTCTCATACTGACACCCATTCACATACTGAATGAGGTAGTAAATCTACAATAAAATAACAGCAGATAAAGGCAAATACTAACAGCAAATAGAAGAGAAGAACATCCACCATTTAAAGCGTTCAAGTTTAATGTTTAATAAAAGGGTTTCCCCTGTAAGCCTGGTTTTCAAATGTTGTAGTGGTTGTAAGTGACAGGAGATACTGTGCAGTGACTTTGACAGTGCTGTTTAACTCATTACATTACCTTCTGCTTTTGCTACTGGCAGACGTTTTCCACTTTAGTCAGCATTTTAAAATTTGTGTCCTCATATTCGCCGTTGACACATGTAGACACTGTTTTATACAGCATGTGAATAAAAGATGGAATCCAAAATTATGTCCCAAGGAAAGTAATGACTTACTTTTATTTGCCAGTAAAGACAGACACCCTTTGTTACTGTGAATTTTTTTTTTTTCTACAACCATAGACTGTATATGAAAGATAGCAATGGATATTTTAGTTTCAAACTTTGCATTTTAAATACTTCAGTGTAAGCATTTTGGCTACCACAACTTTGGTGTTGGAGGCAGAAGTGACCTTATTTGGACAATAAGGGTGTGTACTAAGCTAGCAACTGGCAAACTTAGTTGACAGTTTGTAGACTGCACTGGTGCAATACACACTCTACTGCTAATTAGTGCTAAATAGTAGACTAATAAAATACTAGGGTATGAGTTAGAGCTGGGCGATATATCGAGTTTTAAAAAAATATTGATATATTTTTATACGAGATATAAGATGTGACAATATCTTTTATATCGATATAGTCTATGTTACGTTAAAGCTATACTTGTGGAGCCGCAAGTTTGCCTCTCTTTCGTCCACTTTTGTCTTTACGCAACGTTACTCGGCCTCGCCCCTCCTTCACTGAATACAACTCCCCCTCCTCCCCCATCGCTTCACCTGCAGGAAGCGACAAGACGGACACGGCAAATCTCCGTTAATGAGTTACTGCGCATCGACCCGTGCGTGGGGCTGGACGCCGTCAACGTGTTAGCTAGCTAACCACGCTAACGAGCTAACCACGCTAACGCCATGCAGCCCAGAGGCGCTGCACAGCCTAAAATCCTTTCATTTTCTCAAAAGTTGACAGCGCGCCTTATGTATGAATTCTGGTTGTGCTTGATGGCTGAGAACCGATTTTATGTGGTACACAGCGCTCAGCAATCTGTCAAAAAATGTTTTAGTACGACTTTGGTAAGCTACGGAGCTGCACCGCTTGATGGACTGTCAGAGCATTACGGCTACCGAGGAGCCTCGCGGAGTGATACGTACTGTGCTTCAACGTAATATTACCCTACTGTGTATAAGGACCATAAATGGCACCTGTTAAGAGACGTGGTTATGAAGAGGATTTCAAACTCAATGCTGTCAGTCACAGAGTAGAAGTTGGGAACAGAGCAGCTGTGAAATCTGTCTTTGTTATTGTGCTCAGCGTCTTTTAGTTTACATTTTGACTGCACAATTGTGAGCTTTTTGTTATGCACAAAAACAACATTGTTTTCTTTTATTTATGGAGCATTATTATTTAATAAATGCTCATAATTTATTTTTGAGTAAATTTTATGTACATCTATGCTCTATGTTAATAAAAGTGCCTGTGTGACATCTGGGACACAGCTTTGACTAAGAACTCTCTTTTTGTTCTTACTTTATGGCTTTAAAAAAAAAAAAATCGAGATATATATCTTATATTGCCATCTAGGTAAAAAATATCGAGATATGAATTTTGGGTCATATCGCCCAGCCCTAGTATGAGTAAACAACACTGAAGGACAAACACACGGGTTGTATTACACAAGCTGTGTTATTTGTCAGATAATAAAGGCACCAGCAGCACACACAGGCTGTTCAAGTTATTGACTAAACTTAGTGACTGATTTAGATTCTGTTTGTGGAATTCTGACAGGGGATGGTAGCTAAGATGGCTATTTTCATACCCTAAATAAACTGAGGGGCTGTATGAAGCACCAGTGTAAGAAAAATAAAGATTGTTTTGAACTGTGAACCATGCAAAGCTGAAATGAACATAATGGGTCCAGTTCACTTGAGGTGGATTGCATAAATAAGCTTTTCACTAATGTTTATTGGAAAGTTTAAAAAATGTCCTGGTGTTCTTTTCTAACTATTGATGTAGCTTCATGTTCTTTGAGGTAATGGATAGTGTGTTATTGACTGAGGGTGCCAAGGCACTTGTTGAGCCAGGTTTTTAACCTGCATCTATATTTGCAGGTTACAACACATAAGCTCATTATAACCATAGAGTAGGAAAAACAATCAGTTTATATAAACAGTATTATTATTGTTGTCCTCTTTCAAATATAGGCCTGTTTCTCTATTTCTATTATTATTATTATTGAGGTAAACTGTTTGAGTGCTTATGAAATGTTTGCACTCCAACAAGTTTTGTCCAAGGGTTCCGTGTTTTCTACAGAGATGGAAAATACAGAATTTTAAATCTTTGATTTTGCAGCTGTTGTTACCTGCCTGCATGTTTCACACAAACATGTTCTTTGACAATCACGACATGAAAAAAGGGGATACATAAAGAAGTTAACTGCACAATTAACTGATTTCTTTTTCTTTTTTTGTGGACCCATTTATTTTATTTTAAAAAGAGAGAAATGTTTGATTGTTTTCACTATTTACTTGCCACTTAATTACTTTTGGTATAGTACGAATGGCCATATGGGGGGGGGGGGGTCTGTTAAATTTATGAAAATATAGTTAAAAGTCCAAAATTTATGTCTTCCTTCACATTTATCATAGCCGTCCAGTGGGCCGGATTGGAGTCTGTCTGTGCAATTTTGGCCCCTGGGCCTTATGTTTGAGACCCCTGTTGCAGTAAATGGCTTACAGTATTGCATGTGTGAACTTGTAAATGTTTATAAAGGATTGACAAATTTTGTGTCTGTGAGAGAATCTCCCACTGAGATTGAGGCCACTATCGTATTGTTTAGAATGATAAGCACTGCAGTGTCCTTAAAGAGCTCTACCTGCATATAAGGGGTCTTGTGTGGTGTGGGTGTGTGTGTCCTGTTAGCTGGATGTGATATTTGCCTCATGGTGTTGTCTTGGATTTTCTGTAATGAGTTAGAGGTACTGTGATTGTTTGCTTTGTGTACACATAATCATGGAAAAGAAATGCACACATGAAACGGATATTGGCGCCCCCTTAAAACCACAGTGGGTAGGTTCTGTGTGTGACTGTACACTGTAACAAAAAGTTTTGAGTGCTACCACCTGCTAGGTGTTAGGAGAAAGAAACAAGGCTGCTTGTCATAACATTGTCAAATAGAGCCATCCTAGTTTAACCTCGGCAGGTTTCTTTGTCTACATTAAGTGGCTAAGCCGTCCTACACAGCTGCTAGAAAGAAGCATGTCATAGTAGCTCAATTAGTGCTGGTTGCACCCTTCATTTAAACATATTTTGCACATGGTGTGTAGTAAGGTACGCACCTGTAGTCACATACACATTGACAAGGGATGTATCTATTGTCTAACTGTGTGTTCACCCTCTGATTAACGCAGCCCTCCTGTTTCATTTGGTAAGTGATCACATATATAACTGTTACACCCCCACCTCCCCCTTTTCCAACCCCTCATCTACACACATGCATACAACCACACATGCACACATGTGTACAAACACACATTCTTACAGGCATGTAAGTGGTGACCTGCTACACAAATCCTCCCTGTCACACCTTCATCTGTCTCTACTCCCTGCTCTGATCTGCTGTCCTGCATGTGGAGCTCCATTTAAGAGTTTAAGGCGTGTTCATGTGGACGTCTGTAGACATGATTGTCGAGGTCTGATGAGGATGAATGATAAAGGTGTTTCTAGTCCTGTCCGTCCCCCCCCTCTCACGTCACAGGCATACAAACACGCATGCACTGTTCCTACACGCATGCATCGCTGTCTCACTCAGTCTTTCAGCAGCTGCACGCAACTATACAACAGTCTGTGTTTCTGTGTCCCTCCTCGAAATAAGACGGAAGGCCTTGGAGTTGTTTTGTTGGAATATGTTAAAGAAAGACTCCGGAGACTGAGGTTGAAAACGTTTACTGCCTCACGCTGCTGTTGTAACAGCATTGTAAATATATTGTGTTGTTTCTTTGTTGAGTTGTGTTGGTCATAAGGAAAACTGACCTTCAAGTCTGGGTTTGGGGGAATAAATCCTTGAGTTTTACTTTTAAAATGTTTTGTTTAGGTTTTTTTTTCTTTTCTTTTTATAAAAAGTCTCTCTTTTTTTTTCTCCCCACCCTTCTCTCCTTCCTTTGTTTCCTGGCTTTTCTCTTATTTCTTCTTCCTCTATTTTACTCTCCTTTGCTTCCCTGTTTTCTCCTCTCCCTCTTTTCCTTTTGCAGAGTGGAGCGGAATTGGAGTACCACTGGTAGCTGTCCAGCACAACTGCCTGATCGAAAATACAGGACCACTATTCCACATGAGATTACATTCATTGTCACCTTTTAATTTTTTCTGTAATTCATTCCGCCCCCCACACTGAGAATAACTGAAGCTGAAATCTTGGTTTTAAAAACACCTAATGTGGAGGACTACAAAACTGTTCTTGTTCCTTTTTTTTAAAATTTTTTAAATAGACAAACTATGGGGGGGGCACTGCGTTCATGTTCCGACTCCAGAACTACATCTACAATATAAACACAGCGAGGAGGAGAGGCCAACAAGCACAGTTTCTCTTGCCCCTTGTTTTCTTTTTTCTTTTCTTTTTTTTTTTTGTGGATTTGCAGAGACAGAGGTCACAGGTCTGAATCTTTTAGGGTTCTGTGGTGCCTTGCTTAGACCAGAGAGAGCGGGAGGGAGGGAGAGAAAGGAGGACCTCATAACTCGCCAGCCAGCCACGACCAAAACCAACCACTTGTGGATTCATTGTAAACACTGAGAAGGCTTAAAGTGGTTTGTGGCATTATTTGTTTGGAAGTGTGAACTTTTTCTTGCACCTGACGGGGAGTTGATCGACCACACAAGCCTGCAACTCAACTACACACCTTAAGCTATACTGTCCAGTTCAGGATCTGGGCGTTACTGGTACACAAACAGGAGCCAACTCTTCACTTATTAATGGACATGGCTCACTGGAGATCATCTTACAGAACTCACAGAAATGTAATAAAAATAACTAAATGAATCACTATCCAAAGACCTTGAGGTTAAACCCTCAAATTCAGGGTCTGAAAGCCTGAGAATCCACACCTGACGATAAGGGGAGCACTTATGTGAGAGACTTTCTGGCACCAAATCCCATTTTGACTCCTGGATATTATGTCCAGACTTAAATGGGACGTGGACTGGTTTGCCCAGCTGCAACTACATTAAACTTGAGCGTGATAGCGACTCTCTTGCATGTCTGCTTACTTTCTGTCTGCTCATCTCTTTCAGGATCTTGTCACTTGATTTGTCACTCTTCCCTTCTGTCTGCCTTATTTTTAAATTTTTTGTTGTTTTAACTTCAGTTTCTCTGCTGCGTCATGAGGCAGAAGAGACTCAGCTCTCATTTTGCATTTGCAGACAATGCCAGAATCATAAGCTTTTGAGCCTGCTGTTGTTGAAGATATTATAGAAAGATAGAAACTGTATATGAAATTCATAAATATAAAAAATATATATAGGGAGATATCTATATAGACAGAAATATTTTGATTTGTTTGTTGTCCCTTAAATTCCCAGCCATGGTATTCATTGCGGCCTAATCTGGAAAAAAAAAGAAGGGGGGGGGGGGGGGGGGAAACACCCCCACCCAATAGCCCAACCCATGATGCTGCACGCACCGTTCCCACACAGCAGCGTTCCAAAGACAGGGTTTGGGGTAAAGGAATTCCAACCGCCCCCTCATCCTTAACACATGCGCACACACAATCCTGCTCATGCTACAGCTTGCCTTTTTCTATCTCTCTGATATCGTGTGTGTGTGTGTGTGTGTGTATTAAAAAAAGAAGAAAAAACAAAAATACCTTTTTTTTGGAGTTTAGATTGTAAACATTTATTTACTTAAAAATATGCTTTCTTTTTTTTTTTTTTGGTATACTTTTTTTTTTTTTTTTTTTTTTTTTAATTACTATTGCTGTGGTCCTGTTACAAATGGATAAAGAAAACAACACGAGGAACCTGAAACATACCTTTTACAACATATTGGGAGACTTTGGTTTCGGCTATTCACTGTATGAAGTTGAAGGAGGGACACTGTAGGCTGAAGAGGAGGGGTTCTACACTGAGAGTTAAATTCGCAGTCACTGAATTGGTGTTCTTTTTCTTTTTTCCCCTCTTTCCCCACAACCACCTTCAATGACTTTACCTTGAAGGCACAGGGCAGTTACTGATTTAGGTTGGGTTTGTGTTTACCAGGAGTCTTTTGTGTTAACCTAAGCACTAAAAAAGTGATGGAAGCTTTAGAGATGGATATTTGTCAGGAAAAAAACTCAAGTCTTTTACAGTGTGCACACACATGCATTGTCTGTGTGTGTGTGTGTGTGTGTAGTATTTAGATGAGGTTAAAATATGCTATAAATACAAACCTGTAACATACAGGTATATATATTCAATCATTTAATGGCAAATGTAATGTGCTTTCTGAAGTGGCAGTATTGGAAGAGAAAGGACCTAACAGAGATTGCTGGCTGGTTAATGTTATTGTGGTACACTTGCTCTTGGTGCCATATGACAAATAGGTACTTGAATGTGTAGTTCTTTTGCAGTTACAGTTGTTTTAATGCAATGGTATAACTTTTCTTTGTGGTGGAGGGAGTGGGAGGGGTGGTATCTCCTATTGGTGCATGTTTTGTGATTGAGGAAGGAGTGTAATTTGCGTGTGATATGCACTGGGTGGGCGGGTGGGTGATAATGTGGACAATGTTCAGTGTGGTGGAACACAATGTTGGAGAGGAAAGGCAGTGATAGAGGAACAACCTGTAGATGAACTGGAGCACAAATGAGAATATTAATTCACTTTTAGGTACTTAACGTACAAATTAGATTTCCCTTACTTTAAACCCCCCAAACCGCATGTTTCCCATCATTCCCATTGTGAATGTTGTCATATCTCAGATTCGCATACTTTTTAACATTGTGCAAGCTTTTACCACACTGAACATGGTCTTCAGTTAAGGTTTTTGTTTAAGCTATATCAGACACTGGGCTTGGAGAGAATTTAAGGGAGGGAAGGACAGAGAAACATTTATTTTTCTGAATGTAATTCTTCATTAGTCACACTGATTCCACTGCATGGACGGAATACAAGCAGCACTGCAGGTTCACATTCTCTCCTCATCGGTCATTTAATGGCAGAACAAGCTACCTTGGCTTCCTTTGTTTAAAATAAAATAAAATATACTTGATCATTATTCTGATTGTGGAATATAATGTCAGAACTTATGTGGGAAGACATAAGATAAAGGAGTTTTTGAAAGTTTGGCAATGCCTGGATAATTTGACTGACTTGTTGCTATGATTTAACGTTCTGTTGAGTAAAGAGAATTTTACAAGCATTTGGTCTCCTGAACCTGTCAGTTATTTTTGGGCCGGGTTGAAGGTTTGCATTCCCTGTGGGCTTTTTAGCATAGACATGTGTTTCTGGTCACTCTTTATATACAAGTAGAAGTTCTGTACAAGAATAAGTTAACATATAGGTCAGAAAAGAGAGCAGTAACTCTAACATTAAGATTGAAAGACTGACACAGGCACACAAATGTGTCAAGGGTTCTTTTTTTTTGTAATTTATCATAAGTCACAAGATTGTAAATCAATGGCAAGAATAATACAAGATTGATTCCTAGAAATCTGTGATGCTGTAAAGTGCAAATTAAAAAGGAATTCTATCATTTGTAAATCTTAAACCCATGTATTTTCTTCACAAGGGAAAATAGAAAACATCAAATGCTTAAAGTGAAAAAATGTAGCATTAAAAAAAGTCCCTGAAATGTTTAGACATTTTTAGCATCCCTTTTTCTCTCGACAACAGTTCATTAACTTGTAGGAGCTGAGACCAGTTCCAAAGGTTTTCAGTTTGATCTTTAATCTGTATGGAGGGCTCAGGGGTTAGAGGTCACCAAAAACACACTGCTAGTACAGTTAAAGCATACCTGGGTAAGGAAAATAATGTAACACTATGAGTCATGGATTGGCCTCACCAGAAGCTGGACCTCAACATTACTAAAACAATGTGGGATCATCTTGATAAGGAACTCTACAAAAGGCAGCCAACATCCAAAGAAGAGCTTTGAAACGTTCTTTAAGAAGCCTGGTCAACCATTCCTAAAGACTTCTTAAAAAATTACAAAAATGCTTATCTACGAGAGGCTGTGTTAAAAATAAATAAAGGTGATCACACCAAATATACACTTTAAGATTTGTGAGAACAAAGTCTAATGGGCCGGATTGGAGACTGTGTCTGTCCAATTTTGGCCCCAGAACTTTAAGTTGGACACCCTTGATTTAGGTTGTATTTTATGTATATTTTTTTCAGTTTAGGATCTGTGAGCTGTGAAAGGAAATGTTAATCAACACGTTGTGATGCGTTTTCTAAAGATCAAAGAAATGGAGTAGCTCTTGGGGTTTTGAAATATCTTCTGTATTTTAATGTTGGTGTTAAAGTTCACAAATCCCAAAATAGGAAACCCATTTAGTTCAGCTGCATCTTTATCGCCTACAATATTAAAAGGCATCTTGCACCTTGGTGCTTTTGTTTGGTTCGGAAGTAACTGATGTCTCAGTCGTAGTTAATACTGTGTACTGAAAAAAAACGCTAATCTGTAACCAGTCCCATCAACGCTCCACTTTCCCACATTCCACAGGTGTGTCAGAGACAGGCTCTACTCCGTGTACTATGACCCTCTGACTGTAGTCATATATTTAATGTACGCTCTCCGAGTCACTCATTGTTCTTGAGGCGAGCTACACAACCCGACACGGTTCGTTTTAACAAACAACATGAGTTATAGAAACGACTCCGACAGCGTGGAGCTCGGGGAGTGCACCAGAAACCCGGGTTATAAGGATGCAGACGGAGACGGGCCAGCAGCGAGGGACAACATCAGCGTCTCCGACAGCGAGGAGAAGCGGGACTCCATCGGCGTGAAGCGGCTCTCAGACGCGCGAGATGAGTACACGCAGATCAAACCGTACGCCGGGATGCCTAAGGAGGTGCTGGTGCTGTACTCCTCTAAAGCCCGGTACCGAGTGCCCCGAGAGATCCTGTTCTGGCTAACGGTGTGCTGCACCCTGGCAATGGTCGCGGTCACCATCGCGGTGATCGCGCTTTCTCCGAAGTGCCTGAGCTGGTGGCAGGCCTCCCCGGTGTACCAGATTTACCCCCGGTCCTTCAAAGACTCCGACGGGGATGGGGTGGGAGACCTCAAAGGTAAGACACCCAAAGCACTGCTGCAAGCTCCTAACCCTGACTATTCGAAGATTTTCATTAAAACAGGTGTTTTTATGGACGACACCAATGACGCTCCGCTTCCAACAGTGGAAGGCACATGCTGTTACACTTTTGAGTCACTTAGAGCGTTTCCATATTTTAATGTGCATTTCAAACTACTGTACTTTTAACACCTTTAGGCCATATTATAAATACTTCCCCATATACTCTTATAGATTTGAGTAGCCTACTATTGAAATCCTGCAAAATCGCTGTGAATTTTTTTTGCCAGATAAAGCCTCCTATGAACTCTCCAGGCTTCATTTTTAAAAAACAAAACAAAAAACAATGTAGCACCCTTTCTGAGATTGTGGATTTACAAAAATTTGGCAAAGTCCTGGTAGATTTTTTTTACTCTGTCAACCTAACAGCTGCTCTTATCAATTTCTTATATTTGGTCACTTATACAAGGGTAAATTATTAACTTTATTTAACCATTCGCAAAGTATACAAAGGGAATGGTAAAACTGCATCTCGTTGTTTTCAATGGCTCATTTATAATATTAAATATGCAGATGCTTTTTAGAGGGAAATGACAGCTGCTCTCACTATATTGCATTATTTCCTATAAAAATTTACTAATGCAATGCAGAATTATCTTTTCCTATCCATAGTCCTTCAGTTTATTAGGAATCTGAATTTCAGCACCGAGTGGTTACAGTAGATCCTGTATCTCCTGTCTGACAGGCATCAGGGAGAAGCTGGACCACTTTGAATACCTTAACATCAAGTCAATTTGGATCAGCCCTTTCTACCGTTCTCCCATGAAAGACTTTGGGTATGATGTGGAGGACTTCCGTGATATTGATCCACTCTTTGGAACCATGAAGGACTTTGAGGACCTCCTGGCAGCAATGCACAGCAAAGGTGTGCACTTTGAATACCCTTGTTTATGTGAAAATGTGGAGCTAGAAGGTGGTTTTGGGGGGTAAGATTGTTTTTTATAGCAGGCTGCATGTCTGACACACAAATACCCATCTCCATTTCCACCAGGTTTGAAGCTGATCATGGATTTCATTCCAAATCATACCAGTGATCTACACCGCTGGTTCAACTTGAGCCGGACTAGAGATCCTCACTATGAGGATTATTACGTCTGGACTGACTGCAAACCAGACGGACCGAAGCCTAATAACTGGGTTGGTGCTTGTACTGTTATTTTCTACCTGGTCTATGATTTTGTCTTCTGCACATTTTCACTGAACCTTCACCAAGTTCATAGTACTAAAAAGGTGCAATGTACTGGAATTTAGATCAGATTTGTTTCCCATCTTGCACTCAGGTGAGTATCTTTGGGAACTCATCATGGACATACGATGAAGTTAGAGGGCAATGCTACCTCCACCAGTTTCTCAAGGAGCAACCAGACCTGAACTTCAGAAACCCAGATGTCATCAAAGAGATGATTGTAAGATTACTGGAACATGCAGTGACACACACACAGACACACAAAAGCTCAGCTACTGACTCATTTCTTAAAGTACATTCAGTGATGCATGTGCTAAAATCATGTGTTTTCTTCA